ATGGTTACAGAAAGAATATCATATTGTTTAGTCTGGACCAGGGTTATAGATAAAACATCATACTGTTCTGTCTGGGTTGCATTTAGATATAAAACATTGTATTATTCTGTCTCTGCTATGGTTAGAGCAGAAAACTTTGCTCCAAAGTTACTAATAATTATAGTGCCTTAAACCAACTTTTTGCATAATTAAGAAGTTATTTCTTAGTTTTCGATTTTAATAATTTAACCACTGTAACTAGCATTGCTTCATAAATGAAGGAAAAATATGTTGTATTATGTCATATAAAACGTGTCAATTGGAGATTACGGATGAGGAATACACTTGTTAAAACTTTGTAAAATAGCAGAATATATACATGTATAACCCTAAATAAACCACAGGAAGACAGAATACATGTGTTAAAACTTTGTAAAATAGCAGAATATATACATGTATAACCCTAAATAAACCACAGGAAGACAGAATACATGTGTTAAAACTTTGTAAAATAGCAGAATATATACATGTATAACCCTAAATAAACCACAGGAAGACAGAATAGATGTGTTAAAACTTTGTAAAATAGCACAATATATACATGTGTAACCCTAAATAAACCACAGGAAGACACAGCAGTTACAATGTTGATTTAACTTGAAGTTATCTTTAGATTTACCTGATTTTACTTATTATGGATCCTGAATTCTTGTAGGGTTAAATCTGTGGTTCTATTACATTATGAAATATATTACAAACTACAGACACAAAAACTAGCTATACAGACAAAAACTAACTACACGTAAATATATACAGGTACACACAAACTACTGACTTACAGCATTCAGGGCATATATTGGTACCATCCATAAAATCCTATAAGAAAAAATGGAGTTACATAAATTTATGTTTTAGATAAAATCAAGTATAACTGAAAAAACCAACGCTTCTTCTGCAAGCCTTTATACTGACATTGAACAAGTACCAGAATATTACTTATTGACGTAACTTCTACATGAATGTTCTCTTCATATAACATTTAAAAAAAACAAAATCAAAGTCTTTATTAGCTGTACATGCTTAAAGTATCATAATAACTCTTCAGGTATGGATTGATCCATAATGTTAACAATCAATATTTAAGATCAGATTCTTAAAGTGTCACAATAACTCTTCAGATATGGATCATCCATAATGTTAACAATCAATGGTTAAGGTTAGATGTTTAGTGTTACAATGACTCTTCAGATATGGATCATCCATGATGTTAACAATCAATGGTTAAGGTTAGATGTTTAGTGTTACAATGACTCTTCAGATATGGGTCATCCATGATGTTAACAATCAATGGTTAAGGTTAGATGTTTAGTGGTACAATGACTCTTCAAATATGGATCATCTATGATGTTAACAATCAATGGTTAAGGTTAGATGTTTAGTGTTACAATGACTCTTCTGATATGGATCATCCATGATGTTAACAATCAATGGTTAAGGTTAGATGTTTAGTGTTACAATGACTCTTCTGATATGGATCATTCATGATGTTAGCAATCAATGGTTAAGGTTAGATGTTTAGTGTTACAATGACTTCAGATATGGATCACCCATTATGTTAACAATTAATGGTGAAGGTAAGCTTATTAATAAATGCCTACTGGAACACTTCATTAGTAGGATGATGCTCAGACACTTAAAACATCATCCATTTTGGCACTAACTTTATAAACAGTCACAAACTATGCACATCTTTATTCAAAGTACAAATGTGTTAAATGCAGAAACATGATAAATGTTAACTTACCTAATAATGTGTTTTTGTAAGTAAGGTTTAGTGTAGTGTACTAAGTGCTGTGTTATTTCCCAAAATGTGATGGGTAGGGCCATGAGAACAAAAATTCCTCCACTCAGCCATGCTTGATCATTTGGATTTGCTCCTCCCTTTTTCAATCGAACACTACACAAAGGAAGCACAATAACAATTATGATTCCATATGTGATCATTGTGACGGGTCGAATCCAGAATCTCCACCTTTGTAAACACCACTGGAATGGCATTGTTAATTCCTTTTTCTGAAAAGAAAAAAATTCAGTTATATATTACAACTTTTAATTTTAACAAAAGCTTAATATTTTATTAGTCATTCAGAAAAAATTGAAAATGTTTCCACAGAGTTGCAGACTACAGAAAACCTTATTATAACACTAGATAAAGTTAATCTTTTTGAGAACTATCAAATATCTTAATGAAATGTTGAGTGAAGAGTACAATAATGGTAAAATTATGAGTATTATAATCAACTGTATTAATGAATAACAACTAAAAATAACTTAGGTCTGATAGTTGAACCTCACTTAAATGACTCCTTAAATCATATTCATATTATATACGAGTTTTTAAAATAATATTATTGTCTGTTGCAGTACATTTGTAATTAGTCTCCACAACCTTAATAAGGGCAGTAAAAGGTAATATATGGTTTGTGTTTTGTTTTCCATAGAGAAGGAGAAATTTTGTAAATTCCAGGGTTTTATTTCTACATGATAACTTTTCCTGTAGAAAATATAGGTGTTCTTAAACTGTCCCATTTTTTAGATGTATTTGTAAACAAATCATGTGACATACAAACACACCATCTTTATAAATAAACTGAGGGGGAATACAGCCAGACCATCTTTATAGACATACTGAGGAAGGAATACAGTCAGAATACATTTGTATAATGAGGGGGAATACAGCCAGACCATCTTTATAGACATAATGAGTGGGAATACAGCCAGACCATCTTTAAAGACATAATGATAGGGAATACAGCCAGACCATCTTTATAGACATAATGAGGAGAATACAGCCAGACCATCTGTATAAACATAATGAGGGAATACAGCCAGACCATCTTTATAGACATAATGAGGGGGAAAACTACCAGACCATCTTTATAGACACCATTAGGGGGAATACAAATGAGTCATAATAAACAGAAAATGTCTGGAATTACAAATGAGTCATTACAGATGGAAAATATCTGGTAATACAAATGAGTCATTATAGATGGAAAATATCTGGTAATACAAACAAGTCATTATAGACAGAAAATATCTGGTAATACAAACAAGTCATTATAGACAGAAAATATCTGGTAATACAAATAAGTCATTATAGACAGAAAATATCTGGTAATACAAACAAGTCATTATAGACAGAAAATATCTGGTAATACAAACAAGTCATTATAGACAGAAAATATCTGGTAATACAAACAAGTCATTATAGACAGAAAATATCTGGTAATACAAACAAGTCATTATAGACAGAAAATATCTGGTAATACAAACAAGTCATTATAGACAGAAAATATCTGGTAATACAAACAAGTCATTATAGACAGAAAATATCTGGTAATACAAACAAGTCATTATAGACAGAAAATATCTGGTAATACAAACAAGTCATTATAGATGGAAAATATCTGGTAATACAAATCCCTGTTAAGTTTGCGAGTGTAGGAACTTTTTTATTTAAAAGCTCCATTAGTTATCCCAAAACCCTTAAAAAATTGGAAGTAGCATTAGCTTCTGAAACACTGTTTAAAAATACCTCACCCTTACATCAGCTATGATAGTACTTTAGCAATTAGGTTAAGATTGTTGTATATTATGTGGCTGTTGAGCATAAAAAAGTAGTAGGCTTAATGTGAGAGACATTGATGAAATTATTGCATCACACAGAAAGGAATTAACTCATTTGTATTATCAGATATTTCCATCTATAGTGACTTATTTGTATTACCAGATATTTTCCATCTATAATGACTTGTTTGTATTACCAGATATTTCCATCTATAATGACTTGTTTGTACTACCAGATATTTTCTGTCTATAATGACTCTATTTGTAAAAAAAAAATTAGTAAGGAAACATTTCTTTTCAGTGAACCCATGTTGACTGTCTTTGATATCATATATCACAAAATTTATTCTTGTAGTTTGTGAGAAGTGTTTGTAGGGACCTTGAGTAAATGTTTAACCTTGAAACTGTGATATTTTTCTTTGAAATAAAAGGAAAAATATTTAATATTATATTGGCATCTATAAAGAATGCTGAATTACACAGTTTGTAGATATTACACTTTTATGATGTTAAATTTTAACAACTAGATCTTTCTTAGCCCTTTTTTTTAAAAGGAAGGATCATATAGCAGGCCTGTAAAACATGTGCCAGAGACATTATGAAATATAACACCTAGTCCCTACTTATTTTTTCAAGGCTGTTATGTTTTATAGCAATGATGGAAAGGATGAAGACTTGGTTTAAATGGAGTACATTTTCAATAAGGTTTTGAAAAGATGTCACATAAATGATTTACTAAAACAATCATATTGATAGAGGTTGGGATTGGGGAAATAATATGTCATTGGACTGTATGGTTGTTGGATAACAGAAACAAAAAATTGTTATTACTGAATTCCAGTCAAATTCGGCCCTTGTTACAAGTGGACTGCCACAAGGGTCGATGTTTGGACCTTTCTTTTTATGTTAATAATAGTGATATGGCCATAACTAGTAACATTTATTAAACTCAGGTATTTCTAGTTGTACTGACGATACTTTGGTACAACAGAAAGACTTGGGTTAAATCATAAATTAGACAAATATTTGACAAATTATAGAAAGGTACTGCATTTGGGTTACTATAAACTGGATCACAAGTTTAATATAGAAGCGAACCCAACCAATAGTGTGACTGAAGACAAGAATCTTAGCATAGTAGTAGACTAGGCAATCAAGGCAATGCTGTTTCAAGCAGTAAAGCTAAAAGAATTTTAAAATGTATTTATGCACATGATGATTACAAGTCAAAGGAGGTAATTATCGCTCTATGCAAATCACTAGTTAGGTCTCACTTAGAATAATATATATAGTTTTAGTCTCCTAACCTAAGAAAGGAGTACTTTAGGAATAGAAAAGTTGAGATAGGTTAAGATATCTTTATTTTCTCTTGAGAAAAGAGGAGTGAAAGGTTATCTTATTGAACTTTCCATAATTATCCAGGATATCAGTAGAGAAAAGGTCTCTGATTTCTTTATGCTGTAGACAACAAATAAGTCATGATAAGAGGATAACAGGATAAAAGGACAAAAGTTTAAGAATTGGAAAAAGATAGACTAGGCCTAAGTTAAAAAAGTGTTATTTTACTAACAGGTGATTGACTCATGGAATGAGTTTTCACTGGCAATAGTAACAGTATAGAATTTGAGCTTAATAGGAAAAATGATGATTTCCTGAAAAACAAAAGATGGTTTAAATTTATACTTTTCTCATGGATGTGTGTGCAAGGACAACTGTGAAGGATTAGATGATTAATTAATTGTTTTCTGTATGTTATCACCAACTTAATGTAAAAATAAGATATATAACCCAGACATAAGGAAAAATGCTAACATGATTAAGCACAACAGTAAGACATCTGGGTAAAATTGTTAATATGTTAGATGAACAATGTAATAGTGTCCTTCTGACACTTGTGAACATTATAATAGCCATTTAACAAGTTAATGTGAACTTAATAAGTATCGAGAAAAAGAACTTTACTTTACTGAAATGAGATTAATTAAATAAAAGGAAGAAATTAACTTAATTATGTTTAAAAAGATGAATGGATCTTACTTAAAGTTGAAGTAATCTCTTGTGAAAAAGATTGATTAGAATAATCCCACTGAATATGTGCTACAGCTAGGAAAACATTTAACAATTAGAAAAAAATAAGTAACACATGTAGGCAAGATAACAAAAGAAATGGATACTTAAGGAATACAAAAAGGTTTACAATGAAAAATGGTATCAAAAATGCACGTAACTTGTATACAACTGGAATATTTATCATTAGGTTAGTAAACTTTCTGTCAGCATGACACCAGAATAATGTATCAAGCCCTTTGTAACTGACCTTAAAACTAATGAGTTCATTTTGTTCAAGTTGGATAGTACTCAACACTATTTACTGGAATTGTACTATATCGGGTGACACTTCTGGGTGATGGAATGTAAACATCTGGTAAGTTACTAATATAGATGGCGAGTTCCAAGTAGCAAGAATAGGCTTTTGATGACCAGAGATAGTATACAATTACTAATAAGTACACGGAGAACAAAGTATCGATCCTTGATGGCAATGGACAGAAATGGCCTCCAAGTGTCACAATCTTGTGGGAAAATTCCTAAAACCTTTACTTTAGGGAAGAACATTACACACACCTTTGGAAAAAGTCATGATTATCTGTCTAGTTCCATCCAATTCACACTCACACACTGAAACAGAGTGCCCCCAAGAGAGTCAACTTGAGGGGTATTCAGCAAAGCCTCATCCAACTTGTCTGTGTTAGAGTCATAAAATATGGTAAGAGTTCCATATGGCACCCCACCCAAAAATTGTAGAATTATATTCTGATAAAGGTAGCCTTTTTGATGCCTTTATACAAGACATTTGTAAAGTTTATCCCCAAGAAGACTGTACATCTAATAAATGAAGTAAGTGGTATAATAATGTATTAAAATTATCAGATCATACTATCAATATGATTTATTAATACATAAATATTACTTTGATGATTTTGTTTTTTAAATTGAGTGGGGGTGCCATATGGAACTCTTACCTACTTACATTGTAAAGGCTCAAAATAAAAGGTTTTCAATGTGCAGGTTCTTTTCAAATGCTATTTCAAGATGTCTGAGTGTTATCTGTTGTATGAAAGACGCGTTTCAGGCAGTGTAACATAGAAGTTATAATGTTTGGGACTTGTTTCGTTTCGAAAATTTAACCACCTTGGGTACGTAAGTTTATGTTCGTGTTTTTATTGAATTCATTTTAAAATATTGAAGGAAATTATCTTTGCACAAATCTTAATAAGGCATGTTGTGTAGAGCAGATGGTGATACGCTTATCAGTATCATCAATAAGTGTCAGTTTCAGCCCTACTACCACTAGTAATACTTATATTAGTAGTAGTCTCACAGTAATATTTACCCTTTACATCGCAACTTTGATCCAAATTGTAATGACATTATACATAAACATACCTTGAAAAAATTACAAATACTTATATACAGGAGTAAATTATATTACTTACATTGAAAACTTTACACTAACTTAGTAAACAATAATCATCTGTCACCTGACAATGTTAGAAAAATTACGGCGACATCTACAGAGACCAATTTGGAGATAAATACGGTGGCTATTGATATTTTAACCTTCTTATATGGACACCTTAAAATAACTAAAAGCAATTTTTAATGACAGTTTCTTATCAATAGATATTTTCTTCAGCTTAACTTTTAGATTTAATGAAGAAATTATCATTATAATTAAATTATGTAACAAAAATCATTTATCCAAGTTACTCAGCATACAAGAAGATAAGATCAACCTAAATTTTAATTTATACCACGTATCTTAGAGTAGCAATAATTCTTCTCTATAATTAACTAAGGGAAATAAGTTTCTTTTTATGGCCTAGTGGTTAGGGTACTCGACTCTCGGTATGCAGGTAGCGGGTTCAAATTCCTTTACCAAATGTGCTGGTCTATTCAGCCGTACGAGCATTATAAAGTGATGGTAAATCCCACTATTCACTGGTCATAGAGTAGCCCAAGATTTGGCGATGTGGTGTTGACTAGCTCCCTTTCATCTAGCCTATCACTTCAAAATCAGAGACGACCAACACAGGTAACTATTGGGTAGCTTTGTACCAAACTGTTGTTTGTTTGTGGTTAAGCACAAAGATACACCCAGTTTCTAGCGTTATAAGTCCACAGACTTACCGCTGCACATGCTACTGGTGGGGGGAGGGGGGGGGACATTTGCACGAGATAAAACCAACGAACAAATAGTTTTTTTAAAATCCTAATACAAATTAATATTTCTTCAAAATACATGATCAAGTGAGAGCTGAGGTTCTGATCAGTTTTAAATCTAATGTATTGTTACGACAATGGGGGTCACGTAACGCTAGTAACACGCCATATTCTCGAAGGTTCGTGAATGCTCGAGTGTTTACTGGATGTGCGGTATTCTTGTATATAAGACCGCCAAGAAGTGTCGGCAACAATGGAACTGAATTCCAGACAGAGGGAAATACGGACAGTTGGGCCGAGCGTTGTGAATTATAGCGTTTGTTATTGCGTGACTGTGGAAATTAAGTGTATTGCAAAGTTGTATTCAGAAAGAATTGTTACGTCAGCGAGGTCACGTGACAAGTATCACGCCACCTCCTTTCTAGAAATATCCTGTTCCTTCGTGAATTGTCGAGAGACTACTAGATTGGGGATAGTCTGGTATATATAAGATGGTCACAACGTGACGAGGTAATGAGTAATTGAACTGCAGTCAGAGAGAGAACATTGTTAAGAACGTGAGAAGTTCGTTGAGAATTATAGCGTTTATTACAGAGCGACTGTTGAAATTAAGTGTATCTTAAAGTTGTATTCGGAAAGAATAAACCAGTTTTATTTAAGAAAGGACTTGTGTCGCTAAAGTTTCGTCGGAACGAATTTACGGAAAATTAACTAACGAACGGAGACGTAACAAATTGGTGTCAGAAGTGGAACGAAAAAAAAAAAGAAATGGAAAGGAGAAGCGGCAAATCAAACTACAGCTTAGCAGACTTGATGGCAAAAATACAAGAGCAGCAAAAGAAACAAGAAGAACGAGAAAATAAACAAGGAGAGACAACAGCAGTTGCAAGAAAACCTGCAACAGTGGCAGCTCGAAAAACAAAATAAACAAGAAGAGAGATTACAGCAGCTATTGGAGGAGAAAGAAACTAAACAAGAAGAGAGACTACAACAGTGGCAAGAAGTACAAATGGAAAACATTAGTAAATTTAAAAGCGAATTAGATACGTTAAAAGACGACTTATTGTCTTTTACACAAGGAGGATACATTAACCATCGACTTAACCAGCCCCAGACAATGTAAAGCCCCTTCCAGACCCTGCAGCTAAACCCTAATACAGACATATTCAGTCCCGAT